CCTCGTCTCCAGTGCTCCAGACTCAGCTGGCATTTTGGAAGCAACTTGATAAGCTTTCTCGATCTCCCATCGATCAGGATTTGTTTGTTCTTGGTCGCGAAGCTGAGGCAATTTCTCCACCACCCAGACAGATAACCAGCAATTTTGCCCTCCTTAGAGCCTCATTGGACCATACTAGCGGAGTATTGTCTGCCTATCCTTCCCAAACCAAGCAGACCATACAGACTCAGCAGCAGCACCTAAAATGTTATGAACAGACCTGCGAAGAGTTTTGTAAAGAAGAGCAACAAAAAGACGGCAAAGCAACTTCTTCTCCATCTATCCAGGCGTCTTCCTTCCACCACCTGGCAGCCTCCCCCACAATCAGTCCCAGCAATGAAAAAGTTCAGACGATACCGGATGAACCCGATTGCGTCATGAATTCCAGTGCTTCAAATCCAGCATGTAGGCAGACTGCTTTGTGTGAGATCGACCAGATTTGTGAAGTGATCCAAGAAGAGCTAGATGCAATTGTCACACTCTCAGCCCCGGATACATGTTCCCCGAAGCAGTTGGTTATCAATCCATTTCTCGAGTGTCTTACACAACCTACCGAAGTCTATTCAACTTCTTCATTTAAAGTGCCTTCATTATTTTCACTAACCATAAAGTCGGGACTTGAACAATTGGACGAAAATATCGAAGGCAAACCGAATCGGGACTCGAATAATTTGATGGTGAGCACGTTTTATCAAGCTTTTACATGTTCCTCCATTACCGGTGCATTGGGGGGACAACATTATATACGATTTACAGTACAACAATCAACCGAATGCATAGTATAGACAATTCTTGAATGAGAATTTATACCAAAATATATTTTTATTGAAAAATGTGGGACAATTGATTATAATGACATACGCATATTTGCTTAATCAACGATCCCACTACAAATGTGAGTTTGGAGATAACTGGCTTACCTTGATTGTTGCATCTGCCCTAGGACCCACTGTAAACTGTGGTCGTGAAGTGGAGTGTTAACATCGCCATGATACTCACGATCCGGTATCAAATCCTGCTGAAGACCTAGGCTAGTTGGAGATCTCAGTCCACTTTGAGTGTAAAAGACTTTTGGTAGTTAAGGCCAAGTTATCGTTAGGTCTGCTCAAGTCACTGTAAGAAAGCTCAACTACCATTTGTTAAATCACCTCAAGCTAAATTGGGTGATTCAGGCTGTATCCTTAATGAATCCACATAGAAAGCACATGATTACTATTACATAATTAAAAACACACAAAAGGATCCTTACACTAGCTTGAAACAAAACATGACATTATATCAAATAAGTCTGACCGAAAGCATGAAGTTTGTGCCGAAGACCATCTGAGAATTTGATATATGAATCTAGTTGAGTAAAGAGTAAAGAGTAGCTAGAGGCTTATAGAAGCAAAATAAACAAGCAATTATATTAAAAGTATATTTCTAAAAACATTTAAATCCTTGATTATTATGCCTACCTCATATAAGATAAGTAAAAGTTAATGCGGGATATTTATACGATAATAAAATTATGTGTATAAAAGAATTATCTTCTTTTGAAATTAAATAAATGTAAATTCAGTGTAGATAAAAAATCTAGCGAATTCTAGAGTGAATTAGTTGTAATTTTTATGATTAATGCAGCCTTAATGATAGATCAATTCTGAGCTTGTTGAAATG